TACACTTCGGGTTCTCCAAATATTCAATATTTAGATTAAAATTATCCCCAAGTTAAATGCTACAAATACGGTTATTATATTTTTTTTTAAATAACATACATATAGTATTTTTCGAACATCTTAGCTGCTCGGACGCTTGTACTAGTTACTAATTAGAACACAATTTTAGGTGTTTCCAGGTAGATTCGCCAAATGGATTGATACTCTATGTACGTAATTATACATGTAAACCACTGACATGTATAAAAAGACAGGCTATAAATGCGTTTTATGTATTCTGTGTCAATTTCAATTCCGCCACTTTGGCCTTGATGGTTGCAGTTATTAGCGGTGAATAGTTTACAAAAAGCGCGATTTAACCGGAATGAAGGAAAAAATGTCATTTCTAAACAATCGCCTATCTATTATACATATCAATAAGGTAAACTTACTTGCATACTATGCCTGTCCAGTTGGCCCTCCTGAGCTAGTCTCTCGTAGCAAAGGGCCGCGTCCTGCAGCCGGCCGGTCACCACTTGAGCGAGGATTAACTCCTTCAACGATGGCTCCGAGCGTTTTATTGATAAAATACCTACAAAAGAAATAACAATCTAATTTTAATTAACCTGTTAACAGTTTACGGCCATAAGAGCATTTAAAAAAACGTTTCAAAGCAAAATTATCTGTTGTATTGAAAAAAAAAATAATAAAAAAATAAACGCATGTTATATTAATTTACATAACTATCTGTAGATGAAAATCAAAGAGATTCAAAAAATATATAGAAGTGGCATGATTGAGACTTCACTTGAAACACATACTAAATTTGACAACTGATATAGTACCTTTCTAAGAAAGTACCGGTGAAAAAGATTTTTTCACTATGCATATTCTGTATATTTCTTAAATGTCTATGATGGCAATAAACATATCATCATGCGCTCAAAAAATACATTCCAATCCTTTCCAAACAAGCAAACACCAAATCCTTGAACAAATGATCATACTAATATTATAAATGCAAAAGTTTAGATGGATGGATGGATGTTTGTTAGAGTTTGTAGACTAAACGGGTGAACGGATTTCGATAAAATTTGGTATAGATGTTGAGGATAGTTTGGAAGAACACATAGGCTACTCACTTTTGTTTTTTTTTTAATTCCACGGACGGAGTCTAGTTACTAAATACTACTAACCTGCAACAGAATCTGGCTCATCTAGCAAAGCATATATCTCCGCCAGTAAAGGCAATTGTTCCTGAACCCTCTCTTTCTTCTCATCCATGTATAACTCTAGATACTGCAGCGCGCGCTCCAGCTCGCCGCAGGCGAAACTACCGCGAGCTATCGTTAGTTTGTCGAATTTATCCATAAATGATAATATCGCTCTGAAAACAAATGTATTATTTTTAATATCTAATCAGCCGGAAGGGACTGCGGCACATAGTAATCCGGAATTGCAGATGCTCTTAGTAAGAGGAGACACACATTTAGAGGAAATTTTCAATTCCTATGCGTCCCCCCGCTGTCAAATCCACATTCTCTTCCACTTTCAGTCTCACGTTTAAAAATCTTGGTGACACGGAACATCGAGCATGTTGCAAGACCCTGAGCCGCCAACATATTTGAAACGATGTATACTTGATATTGTGAACACTATCCCTTTTTTTTTTTCAATACAACAATATTAAAACAAAAACAGTCACCGAGTTAATCATTCGTAAAATGCGTTTTAATAAAGCGTTTAACAATTAGTGTGTAGACATAACTTAAATATTCAAAGTTGTAATAAAACATACTTGTAATTTTCATTCTCTGTTGGTCGTTGCTTCACATGACACCACTCCAATAGCCATCGGTTCAGAAAATCAAACAATGAGTATATTGTTTTACTGCATTTGCTCTAAAAATTAAATATATTATTAATGTAAAAAGAGGACAGAATGCTTTGCTTTTAATGTCACCGTCTATTCGCGAGTACTACTCGTTTGTAATACCACTACACAAAAACAGGCGTGAAGTGGGAGCAATTCCGCTTTTCGTCTGGAGTGTTGTGCCGGAAGCCTAATTTTGGCCCCTTTTCCTTTCCACCTTTTTCCTTAGAGGAAGGGATGGGAAGGAAAAGTGGATTTGACGATGAGGTGATGCCTAGAAAGGGGAAATATCCTCTTTATGTGCGTCACCTCCTCCGTCAATTAAGGGTAGGCAACGCATCTGCAATTGCGGATGTGTATGGACAGCGGACTCTTCGCCATTTCGGCGGTTTCAGTTGGCCGCTTGCTCGTTTGCCACTTTACGATATAAAGAAAATTCTAGGAATATTACACATATCAGACGGATTCTAATGTTAATATGTGTTACCTGATTTCCTTCTTCAGCTTGTACGGAGTTGATATTTGGGGTCATTCTAATATGTCGTAGCATCTTGTAAGTTCTTTCGGAACGTACATTATTTTCCGCATCCAAGTTTTCTCGACCTGATATATTTTTTTTTAAATAAACATGTTTGACAATAAAAAAGATAAGTATGCGGATCTCAATATATAATTTATTCCCGCTTCGTAGATTGTTATCCCTACCTCACCTTAAATAATACGTTCGAATGAAACAAACGCTTTTCTCTAGCGAACTGTCAAATCGATATGGAATTTTAAAGCATAGTTAAATCTAAGTTAAAAATAATTGCTTTCTTTTAAAATAAAAACTGAAACTAGTTTGGATGGGTGTTTGTTAAAGTACGTAGCCTTAACTGCTGTAGGGATCTAGATGAGGGTAGTCTGGAATACATAGGTTTTTTATTTTTGGTTTTTTAATTCCCTGCGAACGGAATTGTGGGCGAAAGCTAGTTAATAAT